ATCTACTGAAATGAGGTGTAGCTGACCCGCTCCGTCTCTTTTCAGAACCCATTTCCACTGGATATTTTACATGTTAATTGTGTAGAATGGCTCTCCGCTCCTTTCTTTCTATAGGTGCTGCCTGGAGCTGCGCCTCGGGCTCTTTCTCTCTCTCCCTCTTCATTTCAGCAGCAGAATGAAAATGCTAATTATTATATGGCAACCTCGACATAACCAGCCCATTTCACATGTTCTGCTGTTTCCATTTAAAATCAGCTGTGAATCACGATCTTTGTTACACTGACACACAAAGAGAGAACTTTAGGTTAATAATGACATCTATTATTATTATTATTATTGTTATTATTATTATTACTACTTGCTGTTTAATCATTAATAATGTTTTATACATTTATAATTCATATGCTTTATATTGTAATTGTAACTTTTAATGCTATTATGTATCGTCATTGTTGTTGTTATTGTTTATACTTTTTAATAGTTTTTATTTCAACAACAACAATAATAATAATGTTACAAACAAAGCTAATAATAATACATTATTTATGCATGTACATTTTATAAGGCAATTTATATTCAAGTTGGTCTGGTGCAGTGTATATTTAAAATGTTTCGTTCGAAACATCAAATTTAATATATCAAATATGTGTGAAATACATACCTAATTGGAATAAATATTATAATTTAACTAACTAAATACATATATATTTAGTATACGTTGAATATAGGAACGGTGACCTGTTTAATGTCGTCAGGCAGCATGTGAGGTTTGAAGTTATTTCAAGCCAACTATAGAGCTGAACTTTGTAATTGTCACTGGAGTTGTATTGGGACATCTGCTCGACTGTATCAAAGCCGACACGAGAGTCCCAGCGGCTGAGCAAAAATCTGAGTTAATTAGCGCGATACATGTTTAATTAAAGCCCATTACAATATCTAAAATTACCTAATCGAAACCTGTTTTCACAGTGAAGGTGCCCTCAGCACGATCTGTTTCACATAGAAATAACATGCATTCTGCAGCACATGCACTTTGTGCTTCTGCACGATACAGATGCTGCTGGATATGGAGATTTTTTTTGTTTTTTGTTCTGCAAAATAAAACCATCGGCAGATACTGGACACGACGGCGTGTCACACGATACAATACTTTTATTGGAGGTTTTATTGTTTTCTGCAGCAACACTACATTATATTTCATTGTTAAATGTTTTGTGTGTGTGTGTGTGTGTGTGTGTGTGTGTGTGTTTAATTTATTTTGGACTCTTTAATCGGCGAAATAATTGTTCCTTAACATGTGATGATCATATCAGACTTTGCATTTTGTTGTTGTTTTTTTATTTTTTTTTAAAGGCTTTCCCATCGTCTTTTTTTTGTTTGTTTTTTTATTCAGACTATTTGACGTTTGCAAGCATATACCCAATGCGCGACAATTGTGAAGTGATAAATTCTGGCACTCTTTAAAAGAAAATCAGAAACTGATTGGCTCACGTTTGATCGATAATAGGCTATTGATTAGTGCTCTTTAATTGTGCAGTGCTCTCAAAACGCTGTTCCACAGATGCGTCGAGAGGAGGCGCTCTTCATCAAATTTCTCTCAAAGATTAAAAGCTGCTCCGCCAAAAGCTCCTGCAGTTTCCTCCGGAAAATAAATGAATATATTTTCGCGTTTTATTCATTTAGGCTTATGCTCAAATTCAACTTAGAGGGAAAGAATGAGATTGAGATTTGTCGTATTGTAAATGATATTCTAGACGAGGTAAATTATTAAGCATATTGTTTGTCCATTTTCTCCTGTTAATGTATTATTTATTCACATATTTTATTATTGATGTATTTTATTATTTAACGCTATTTGTTTTTAAAGCTTTATTTCAACCCGCTACAAATCCACAATTGAAAAATATATGAACTTGTTTCAATATAAAACATATCAAATAAAATGGCCAATATCATTTTATGGAATATCTGCGCTTGTTCTAAGCACAACTTTATACAATGGCGCCAGAAACTACAATAAAATAAGGAAATTATGTCTCGACTCTCATAGTAATGCACATAATTCATCAAGATTTTATTTGCCCTCATTTTTCCCTTTTCTGATCATTAACGATGTAATTAGTTGTCATGATTAAGGCGAAGAGAACATATGCAACAGTTTAAAAATGCAAAGACGAATGATTGATTCACCCTGTTTGTCATGCACTGACGTTTACGCATCTTTGATTTCCATCTCTCTCCCTCTCTCCTTCTCTCCCACACTCCCTTTTAGATAAACCCACTACAAATGTAAAAATTGTTTTCGACTCCTAATTCAAGAGGACTTGGTTTTAAAAGCATGCAAATATGAAATTGAACACTTGAAATATTGATTCTCGTTCGTTTCCAGATTTATTTCTGATGCTCGCAAACACAGAACTGGGACGTTTGGAGTTGGCATATCCGCTTAAAACATAGAAACTTGAGCACTTGGATTGATATTGCGAAGGTAAATCATCTCCCAGCATCTCTACATGAGTTATGATGAGCTAGTTCACGCCTTTCACTACATGACGTGCTCTCCGAGTGGTCAGTTGTCCGATTTTACGCACCCAGCATCTCAGCACTTCTAATTTAATTTCATGTCTCAATGCCAATATCAGCCCGAACGCATGCACATGTCAACGCTTTTCTGTGATGTTGGAGACAGACAGGCCCTCACTCTCTCCAGGCAATTTTATTCCGGCCATGCCTCACCAATACAGCTTCTCTAGAGTTTTGCAGGTGTCATTTCTGCTCCAGACCTTTAAGATTAAAACTGGGCTTTGGATGATTTGGCCGTGCGCAAAGATGCAAATGGGAAAAGTCGTGGTGCGCTGGTATGATGCGTGGAGGGGACATCTGGGCACTGGCCATCTGACTGACTTTGCCTTGACATCTGGGAAAGCCACTGGTGTGTGGCACGCGAATCGGTTGATGTCGCTATTTAAATGCAAATTTGTTGGGGATCATTGGAGCCTCACCCCGTAAATTCACACAAAAGGAACACTTCACACACAATAAGGAGGAGGGTCGTTTCTTCGGGAGGTCTTGGCAACGCCGAACAAATCTTATTCAAACCCACACACACCTTCTGCATGACTAACTTTTCCTTTGTCCTGCGCTCTCGGTTAGTACATCTCCCCAAATTAGATCTAACATGGGCAGACAGAATAGAGCTCAATCCGCAGCGTTCACAAAAAAATAAAAAAATAAATACAAAACCCCCCCCCAATAATAATAAACGTTCCAGTTAGAAGCAAAACGCTTTTACGTGTCATAGTAAAACATTTTCTAAAAAATGGTTTTCTAAAAAAACGCATCAACCAAAACACTTATCTTAAGAACCTATAATTTAGCAAGTTTTTATGATTAAAGATAATACTAAAGGTCTAAACATTTAATGCGTAAATCATTTTTAAAAAATATTATTATTATTATGTTTGCAAACCTATAAACCTTTTTGTGTTGGCAAATTGTCTTTTTTCCTACTTGCATGAAGTAGATATTTTAGCTGCGCCTTTAATTTTTTTTTTTATGCATAACAAAAACTGACACAGCTGACACTTTGGAAATGTAAAACGCAATTAAAGCGGTTATCACAATAAACACGCCGGATTTTTTTTTGTGTCATAAATTTGTCCCGCACTTTCTTTTCAAACGTCGAGGAGCGAAAGTGAAAGTTGGTGAATTAAAGAGCGCATTTTGCACGCTTTGGCTCCGGGCTCCAGATGAGCCTCAGAAATGAGCCGAGATGGATTCAGGCGAGCAGCTGATTCTCCAGTCTCCGGCCAGATGGCTTCTGAACACAGATTTGCATTCATTTTCGCCTAATATCTTCCAAAATAGAGGGGCAGCTGCATTTGTTGTCAAATAAGGGTTAAAACTCCTTTTTAGGACGGGATCGTTACCTACGCGATGGGATTGTTGAACTTCTCAAGTCAACAGTATCAGATTTAAAAGGGATTTAGACTAAAACCCTAATTTGGTAATCAGATTGAAATCGCTTTGGTGTGTAATCTGTATTAGAGATACTGTAGATTAGGCCTAGAGTTAGCAAACCTGAAATATTTATGATGGTAAATTAGAATCCAATTAGGGTTTGGATAAAAATTAAAATAATACTAATTTAATAAAAACAAGTAAAAATATATCACATGCCAAATAGGTCTCCGGAAACTTTAGGTTTATTCATTAGCACACACGTCATTTTATTAAGACTTTTTGATAACAGTAATTCTAAGAACATTTCACGTGAAACATAAAACAACGTGATTAAGACAAATAATAATAATCATCGTTTGCTGCCTAGAGTGCCATTTAACATTAAAGTTCACAGAAGCATTCAGTGTATGCATGGATCAAAGTCATTGCAAATTAAAGACAAAAAGCATATCAATCTTAAATTGTCGTAAAATATAATTTTATTACTTACGTATTTAATTAGACGACGATGCAATGTGATGGATTTTGAGTCGAGGCAAGAGCAACAGCTTTGATAATTCACTTATCTTTGGCAATAGTCATTAACCCCCAACACTAGCAGAATAGATTGCAGTGTAAAACACATCTCTCTTCTCCTCTCTCCGTCCGTCCATCCATCCATCCCTCCCTCCAGCGCACAGGGTCCCCAGATAACCAACATCGGACTTCCATTTTCGCCCATTAATTCAAATATTAACATACATGCAGAGTCTGCCAATATCGGAGACATGAGCACCTTACGAAAAAATGGCCCTTATTGTCCTGATAAATGATTATATTTTTATTACAAAAGACATCCTACTTCTTGCGCATAGAAGGAGAGGGTGGACGCAATGTTTCCCCCGAGTCCTTTCACACTTTCAGATGTAATTCTGCAATAATTTACAAAATTACGCGTGTACGCGCTAGGACTAGGAGTTTGACATCGCCTCGGCTTGCTCCACGCGCGCAAACTGGCTTTTAGATTCAAGCAGTCAATGTTGCCATAATTCAAGACGCGCATTACGCCATTATGCAGATGCCCAGGGTGTTTATTATAAGGAGCATCTAGTCTTAAAATGCCAGTGCACCTTCCTGATTTGAGAGTAATCAAAGTGAATCGATTTGGAGGCTTGCGTCCAGGACGTTTGGCACCGCTGTCATAGTGATGATGGCCCAGTAAGATTTTTTATTTGTATTTATTGTTTTATTCTGGAACCTAATTGCAGCGGATGGGTGGTCAGTCAGTGCTCTTTTGCACTCTATAAACTTGCATGGCAGTTTTTCAGGATATATAGTTCCCGCGCGCCGCGCTTCATTCGCGGGCTTTCATTATCATTCATTTTTGTTCTTCTCTGATGATTAGCCTACTTGACACGGTGTTCACTGGAAAAGCAGTTGCAGCAGCAGCGACTCTAGTCGTGTATGTACTCACGGTCCAAGCTTAAAGCTCAGCAACAGGAAGCGTCAATCCTCTCCATGTATGGGCAAAGCCACGCCCACGTGCGCGTCATCCTCTGACAGCCTGGATCCCGTGGGTCTGGAGTTTTTGGCTCCCGGGAAAGGTTCCAGTCCTGGGGGATAGAGGGTTGAGTTTTGTATGCTTCCATCCATTCTGCAAAGACGCGCTAAAGGCCCCTCATCATCCTCTCCCGTGTCCGGGAACACCTCCACGGTGATCATTTACGCGTTTATTTGTCTTTTGGAGCCAGAAGTGGTGGATTCAGCAGTGTCCCGAAGCCTTTTTTGATGCTGTTGTTATAGGATGCCACCAAGCTAAGAGCATCATCACAATCATCATCATCATCATCATCATCAACAACAACAACAACAGAAAGTTGCAAGAAATGTTTAACTGAATTAAAACAAGTCTAATATCCCTGCTCTTTGCGCGACTTGTTTCGCTTCTTCCACGGGAGGATCTCCATCTATCCAAACAAGCTGCTGGAGAGGCTTGCGAATCTTTACGCACTGAATCGTTCATGTGGTGCCAACGCAGGACGGACTGAAGAAGGAGTCGGGACTGCTTTTTCTTTTCTTCTTCTCTTTTCGACAAATCCCAAACTAACTCTTACGGCTATCCGAAGGGGCTCTTGGAGAAACGACGCGCCCTCGCTCACACTCTCATTTCATCTCTTTGGCTGGAAGTGGGTTGCACGCGAACTGTTTTAATGTTTGGGATTCAGGAAAATATACCAAGAGGGGGGACCACTATGAAAGAGGAACCGCTGGGCAGTGGCATGAACTCGGTCCGATCGTGGCTGCACACGGCTGGGGTGGTGGATGCGAACACGGCCGCCCAGAGGTACGTTTGCCAAATCATCCGATTTTTAATGCATTTCTCAGATCGACCCCTAAATCCCCAATATGCCATGTATCAATTACACTCTCCCCATGCACCTCTTCGCCGCTTTCCCCTGTTCATTACATCATATTACAGTTTAAGTGACAAATCAAGAATTCTCCTATGTTTTCATTCTATCTACATCTATCTATATCTCAAGTGTACGCCTGTTGTTTTAACCCACACTGGTGTCTTGTTTTTCCCCGCAGTGGAGTTGGTCTGGCACGGGCGCACTATGAGAAACAACCGCCATCCAACCTCAGAAAATCCAATTTTTTCCACTTCGTCTTGGCGCTTTATGACAGACAGGGACAGCCAGTGGAGATCGAAAGGACAACTTATGTGGACTTTGTGGAAAAGGATAAAGTAAGCGCCACTCTGGAATACTGCTTTGAATTTTCACCTTAAAACTTCCACACTTCTAGATCTTTGGAAACACGTGCGCCATTAAACCGTTTTGACGGATATCACAGAAATTGTTATGCATTATACACATTATTGCCAGGAATTAATCTACTAAAATACAACCTTGAAATAGAGTTGCTGGATAAAAGCGTAAATATGAGAGAACATGCATACAGACAAAAATGCATGCATTTCAGAAATATACTCAAATAAAATTCTCAACAACCCAATTATGCCAATCTGACCCCAAACAAATGCTTATTTTCAGGAGCCTAACAGTGAAAAAACTAACAATGGGATACATTACAAAATACAACTATTGTACAGCAACGGTAAGTGTAAATTTCTCTTTTCAGCAAGGATAGATTTACAAGTGTTTTATTCGCTCAGTGGAGCCGTATTAACTTACGTTTGGTTTCCTAAAATGTAGTTCAGTTTATTCCACAAATGTAATTCTAGTAGCCTAGATGGCAAACCTTCGATGATGTTTTTTTTTTTCTATTAGTGAATTTCAAGAATACTTTCAGATTTTTTTCCCCGAGGAAACTTTGTGTATTTTTTTTTTTACAACACTTTTTTTTTCCACATTGAAAAACAAAAATAATTTCCCACAGGCGTCAGAACAGAACAGGATCTTTATGTTCGGTTAATCGATTCCATGACAAAACAGGTAAGAACTTTTCTTTTTTCTCTTGCGTGTGTGTATTTATATTTATAATCTGTGTAATGTTTTGTTGCACGTGCTTTGGTCACACTTTATATTACAGTATACATGTTTCCATAAGTAAATACAAAACAAGCAAATGTATCTTCTTCTTTATATGTAATATTTATTGGAGATGCAGAGCATTTTATTGTTATTGCTGCTGTAACTGGTTATATTCACATGTGCAATGAACACTGTAATGTAAAGCCGTGGCTGTATTTTGGGTTGCTCTGATTAATGGGGGAGGTTATGTGGCGGATTTAATTTAATATGAATCACATTACCACATTTTTCTTCTCGTGTAGCTGCTTGATAATTTATTGCGAATTAATGAAATGGTGGAGGGCACACAATTATGTATACACACTTTTAAATAAGCACTTAAAAAAATACTGAGGATAAAGGCAAAATAACCTAAAGTGTTAATAATTTTCTTTATAATTTATGCCGAGTACTTTCTTAAGAGCCACATTATAGTCTTACTCTCGCATATGGAGCATCATTTCTGTATTGCGCTCAGTTAGGCTGTATTATTATTATTTTTTTATTGTGTTTTTAATCTGAGACAATATATAGCTCATATGCGTGTGCTTGTGAAGCACAAAATGCCAATTTATAATGCATGAAAATTATTTTAATAATTTTATATCATAGCTGCTTTCTATATGATATAAAAAATAGTAATAATAAAAATTATTTTTTTATCTCGCTGTGCAATATCTCCTAATTGCCATTCAGTTACTATATTTTAGTGTGTCATTTATATCACGCTGTCGCACGTGTAAACTCACTTTTGTTGTGCTGTAATCAGATCTGGATAAAGGCATAAAAATAAAGCTCCAGGCTTGAGACAGACACTTGAGTTCATATTGTACTCTGATGTTCTCTGAAATCACTCTCAGCTCATTTCCATTGTCCATTTAAGTTTATCTTTGTTAGACATTTATTAAAATAATTGATTAATAGAATTAATGTCATGAGAATTACAGACCAACGCTTGCATTCAGAATGCAGCTGGCAAATTACAATTCAAAAGTGACCCAATTGCTACTATGCTTTTATTATAAGTTTTCATATATTTAAAGCAATTCATTTTTTTTTTTTTTGCACCGTGTGTTTATTTGCGCATGAGTATTTTTTTTTTTTATTATTCCAGTTTTATGTGTATACAACAGTGCTTGGATTTTCATACATTTATATGCACCAATAATACGACTACGGTGTATTTTTTTGTATAAAAGTAAATGTGTTTTTTTTTTGTTTTTTTTTGCAATGATGTACTGTGCAAGAGCGCACTCCAACGCGCCCCACGGATCCTACGGAAGGACGCGTTGGAGTGCGCTCTTGCACAGTACATCATAACGGGAGCAGGGCAAACAGGGAGGGAGGGAGAGAGAGAGAAAGAGAGAGTGAGACAGAACGCGCAAAAAGCACCAAGGCCCGTGCGCATCTACAGCTCCAAACGCCATCTGTTAAAGCCAATGCTCAAAAATTACTCAAGCGTACCCCCCGACACCGCTTTTTATCTAAAGAAAAATCATTGTTAGCGGCTCAAAATAAACAACAGATTGCCCATTAGCACTCTACCCCTAAATATCTGCAGATTATAACCGCGTTGATGTGTACGGTTATGGGTATTATTTACCGCGGCCATCTGCGTCGGAGAAGCGACGTCTATGTGATTTCTATTATCATTCCCCAAATAAATAGCGCAAAGATCTAAACCGAAGCATATGCGACTCTTCATTTCTGAAGTGATATGCATGTGGTATAATTTGTCATCGCAATGACCGTCCAAGTGTTGATATTCATTTCAAACATCATATTTATTTATGCTAATTAATAACACAAAGGTTATCTCTATCTAGAATGTGGGCATGTGTGTTGGTTTACAGATAAAACATTGTTTAACAATGTATGTGGGCTAAGTGGATTTTATTTACGCAACTTCTCGTGACGATTTTTAATTGATGAAGATGAACTTGAACTTTGTGGCATAAAAACACGTTATTATTTTATGTTTAATTTAATTAATTAATTTTTTTGCTGGATACATTTTATATTTTATATTTTAAATGTAATATTGTATGTGTTATCCACTTGTTTAAAATGTCTTCACTGTGACTTTTATTTCAAGGCTATTATTTATGAAGGGCAAGATAAAAACCCAGAAATGTGCCGAGTTCTTCTCACACACGAAATTATGTGCAGGTAAGGAAAAAAACAAACTTCCTTTTCATTTTCTGATAATTATAAACTATTGCATTTGACTGCGTAATTTAATTTTATCAGCCATACTGTCTTGTAGTGTTTTCATAAATGCGTAACGCACATGATGTAGGCCAGGATCCAGGCCTCCGAGCATCAGACTTACAGAAAATCAATGAATCCCTGAATAGATCTGCCTGGATACGCTGAAAAGAATCCAAATGTTCAGAATTGTCAGGCGGCTTATGCGTAATGATTTACGGTTCGCTTTGCGCCCTGCTCTGCGAGTTTCACAAGTTCTACTTCAAAAGCGCACATTTTTACCGGATCATTTGGTGACACCGGACTTATGAATGATTTCACTGGACTTTTAACACTATAGAGGACGAATTGAAATTCACACACACAGCGGTCTGCTCAAATGCAGACGTTTTTTTTTGGAAAGTGGCTTTTCATCCTCAGCATTTTAATCGTGCGCCACTCTGTCTGTTTTGATTTTTTTTGCACACGCCACAGAGAAATCCTTATCCTGTGGTTATTTTAAAAGTAGAAAAATGACGATAAATAAAAATAACTGCACTAAAAGAGAACCCGACGCTTATCGAAGCAAGCACTCAGTTTCCCACCAAATCGGAAAGGAATCAGAACCGTGCGCAAAGGTCACGCCACATCCTTCTGCGCGCTTCAAACTTTTAAGAGTTCACGGAGCCTCGTTTAACCATCAAGCAAGTTGCCCGCATCGCACTCTGTTGCTTGCGTCAAAACCGTACAGATGCGTGTCTGAGTCCCAAGCAGAGGTCCATAGACATACCTTAATCACTTTAGCTGTCAGCTTTAAGGAGCTTTACGTGTTTTCCATACCATATGGTGTTAATTTAGCTCACTTAGACATGTAACCATTATACAAGTGGGCTTCTTTAAATTCAAGAGGCATAACAATGTTTTTTTCCTCTGTAATTTCAACATTAATTAAAGAAAGCATAATGGAAGCATCTTCAGGGCCTCAAAATGGAGGCATTGGCAAATTGTAAGAGACTGATGGAGGCTTTTTGAGCTGGTAATTAATAAGTGCCCCACAGAAATCCTGGTTGAAGGTGGCATCTTGCATCCTCTCCAGACACAACAGCTTGACAATTAGAGGTAAACAAAAGCTGGGGCTGAGAGAGAGCTTTCCCCCCTCCCAGCCTCCTGGCATCCCCTCTCCTCCTCTCAGCACTAAGACAAACATCAAAAACATGCTGTTTTCCCTCCTTCAGCCACAGCGACGGGCTCCATGTTTACCCTCCACCCGCATCTGTGAGAACCGCAGCCACCAACACCATCCGGCTCAGCCAGAACCTACGTCAAACACCTCGGCGGTTAGCTAGAAAAGAGGACGAGAGAGCGTGATAGATGAATAAATCGAAACACACGGTGCTCGGAGACGAAAGACACATGCAAGCTGTTTGCTGATGCTCTCATATCTCATCTCATGTCTCGTTTTTCTCTCTCCCTGTGTTCTTCTCCCCAAGTCGGTGTTGTGACAAAAAAAGCTGCGGAAACAGGAACGAAACGCCCTCAGACCCCGTGATCATCGACAGGTAAGACTATCTATTTGCTTCCCGCCTCTGGTCTGTGAGCGTAGGGCGCTGTGGCCCAGCATCCTGGCCCGGTTTTGCGCAGTTGGGTTGACGTGGAGTGTCTTTAGGGACCGTGTAATTGCTGGTGAGTTGTCAGGGGAGTGCTTTCCTCGAGACTTGCAAGCAGTTCACTGCATCTAGAGAGCATTTGGCTTTAAATTCACAACTCTTTCATCGTAATTTGTTAGCAACTACTCGGCTTATCTTCTCTGTAAACAGTGCACTGCCTCTCGCTGGCTTTGTGGCACGACTGCGTGCCGGAGCAGAGCAGTAATGTTGCATCTCCAAACATGCATGTTCGAGGCATCTTTACGTTGCACTCTGAAGTGCTGCCGGTGGGAAATGAGTAATGTTTCTAGGCTGGCTGTTGGCGGTTGCATGTTGATCACATTAGGGAAAGCGTGTTCAAACACACCGGCTCCCGCCGAGTGGGTAATTGACGTTCTTTCTTTTTTTTTTTTTTCTGCAGCTTATGTTTCTCTTTGTGAGTCTGGCTCAAGGTTACACTTACTTGGCGATACTTACACTTCTTCCTTTTTGTCCAATTATCCCTGTCGTGGCAGCATGTACGTGGATTACGGTAGGGCAGGTCTCGGACTCGCGGCTGAAACGGTAAATGTGACATGGAGCGCTGGCTGCTGGAGTCCGGGTCTCTTGGAGATTAGTGAGCTAGAACAAGCCTACCTTGCTCCATAAAGCCAGGAGTCTCTCTGTTTCCATCTGCTGTAAAGAGCCATGAATAACCAGCAAGCGGTGCCAGCAGCAAGAGTCTCTCTCTCTTGTTTTCTCACCATAGCTGTTGCAAAGTTATCTCCTGATCACAAACTTGTCTGTACACTGAGTGGGAAATTAGATTGGAGGGTGAGATGATGGGTAAAGCCGGGAACGAAATATGCACCACCAGTGGATAGCAATGCTAATGTTTGACTTGCTGAAATAGCTGTTTGCTTAGCGGGGAATGTTTGGTATCTGACAGAGGGAACATCTCTCTTATTAGTAATCAAATAGCAGTGACCAGTTGTCGCTGTCACTCACTGTACATAAAGTGTGTGAAGCATTGGAAAAAAGGACTCATGCCCTGTGTGTCGAAATTATGGCCGTGCTTGCGTGTTTGGAGGTCTGAGCGTTTCCCGCTCTCACGTCATGTGGTCGTAATGTGGAAACCCCGCCGTAGTACACAATAATGTGAGCGATTTGGTTCATGTGAGGAGAGGCTGTTTGATTCAGTTGGATTTTTCTTTTCTCTTTTGGAGTATATATATATATTTTCTCTATATACAGTAGCTTATTTGATTTAAATCATAACCCATGGCTCTGTTATGAAGAATAGTAAGCTGTCTTGTTTTCTGCTTCGTGTGTAGGCTACATTCAAACTAAATGCTAGTCAGCAACATACATTTGAATCACATTTGATTAGAGTTTGGTATTAAGATGTTGCTAATTCTGCACTGCTCTAATGAGCATAAAATACTCAATTTTCATTTATACTTTTTTGATTTTGGATGAAGTTTAAATTTATTTATTGCATTCTGTGATTTTCTCGCCCATGAATAAGCAATGCTGCCTTACAATTTGACTAAAATGTGGTGTCTTATGAGGTAGCATAAATGCTAAATATTTATTTACATTAGCATAATGATGTGATGCCTTAAAATGTTACCTATGTAGGCGGCTCACTAGGTTTTGGAACAGAGCCCCTGTTTAACCTTTTTGAGGGGAATTTGAATTCCTTACATCTTCTTCTGTAAACACTCTCAAAGAGTGTGAATCAATCCCAGTAACCTTGGTTATCTTTGCATTAAATGATTAGCTTGTTTAAACAGACGTGCTGAAGAGCTCTGACAGTGTGCGAACAGTAATTAGTTACAGGACCGACATTCATGCACTCACTGTAACTCAACCGCAGGAGAAAGAAAAGCTAGTGGGGCGAGAGAGAGAAAAAAAAGAAGAGGAGTCCCGGCGAGGAGGAGGAGGATTTGTTTTGGTTTTCTGAACAGAAGATAAAACACATATCACTTCCTCTTAGCAGATCCTGAAAAGCGTCTCAGGCAGTCAGAGTCGATTCTCCCCACCGGCCGTGGCTTATACAATGTATTTACCTTTAAAAGAAAAAGCACAAGAACACTTTATAACAGGGTTTCACTGATATTTACTGCATTGACTCTTCCCATAAACTGCTGGGCTTTGTGTTGTGGCTAAATAGAGGTGGATGGATCGGATGTCTTGGCGCTTTGTGCTTCAATCTGGTGAACAATATGTGTAACACTAGTAAAAGAGGAAAAGGAGAACAGCGCAAAGAAGGTCTGATACTCGGCAAAAAGGAAGGATATTGTGGTAGGTTGAAACGGCGGATAAAAAAGCTCACATTTTGATTGTGAGACGTCTGAAAGACTCGAGAGGATCGTTTTCATAGAGGGGCGATCTGTTCTGTCGGATCACAAAAGCAGATGTGCTTCATTAGCCGACTACATTGTCTGCATATCACAACTGTGAACAGATGATTTTATCCAACGATCAGAGAACAAGGCAGCCGAGAGAGCCCGGAACGCACGGAAACACGAGCGTTCGTGCAGGTGGGGTGTATGATATAAAGCTAATTTGTAATCACAAAACCAATCCTGTGGGGTAATGTCTTGTTAGGTCCGTCTTTTTTTCCTTGTCTCTGAGGAAAAAGTGGAACATTGCAGTACACCAGGGAGTTTTTATGCATAGCTAAGATACATGCATGCTCAGTCACCATTTATAAACAAGCATTTGCATGCACAGGAAGTAGAGCCAAAGTGCAATTGTGTGAGGGTCGACTGCATTACAATCAAAACATTTCACTAGGTTGGACTTGGGATAGATAGATAGATAGACAAAAAGAGGAAGAGAATGTTCTGTTAAACAGGGCTATGGTGACCAGAAGATCTGGTGATCCATTATCAATAACGTTTTCAGCCACATTCTCCCAGATGGCACATGGGCCAGGCATACTGCTCGTTGGCACGGGCTTGGACAATAACTGGCACCCGCTTGATTCTGGCATTTTCAATGGAGTTTAGGAGACTTATCATTCCAAATGTGTCCTATTTTCCTGTAGTCAAGCCAGACATCTGTTTATACTATTTCTCTTGGACTTTGGTGCAGCTTTAGGTTCTTCACGAGGAGAAGAAAAATAAAATAAAAACTTGGTTGTATTTCACAGCTGTTACAAAATTTCAACCTCAACAGATCTTTTAATATTTCACAACCCGACCCTGCTTTGCCATAGATTATTCATTGGTATTTTTGAAAGATAGTTTGAGCCTCAGAAATGAGGGGTTCTATGGCTAGACTCGAACTCTTGTAGGTGATGTCTTGAACGCACATATCAAGTGTGAGCCCGAGAACATATCGGTCCGAGAACTAAGAATACCCCTCCTACTCAAGAGCGATCAGGGTTTTCCTAGTCAACCGATCTCCCTTTCACTTCCTGTCAGAAAGGTCAAGACACGCTGACCTCTGACAGCCAACCCCCTCCCTCAACTGAATAATTCATGAGATTGACTTTTTTTTGTCAGAGTACACAGTTGTGAAGCAGGACGGTTTATGTAGCTCATCTCGCTGAGGCTTCTGCACCTGTTCGGACCGCGTTGTATTTGGGTCCCAATGCTGATTTAGCTAAACATTCATTAATTTTTCGTACCAGAGGACCTTTACAGAAGGGATTACTCTTGGTTATTAGCTAGGTCTTCCTGGAGCCATATGCCGGGTAAAAAATTGTGTTCGTACTCAGCCTGTTGCAGGTTTATTTAATATTTAAAAACCAATTTTTTTTTTTGCTATTTTGTTTGTATCTTCTCCGACCAGGCTACTTAAAAAGACCTCCTCCCTCTCATCCGTGCACAGGCCCGCTCTCGGAGCTGAGCAAATGCCAGCATTTAGAAGGTCAGAGCTTTTGTTGGAAAAGCACTATGTAAATTAGCACCAGCAAAAGGGACATTAAACAAAATTCAATTCATTGTCTCCCTTAATGTCATTTACATTTTTGGCTCGGGCCCGTCCTGTCGAGGAGAATTTTGGAGATGATTTTAATTACATATCAGCGCTGGAACAGAGGGCTGTCTGGAGCGACACATATTTGGATCACCTGTAAAGAGAGGTTTATTTACCAATGCACTTGAATGGCAGGTTTTCACAGGCACGTGCGTGCTGTAATTAAGCCCGTGTTAAGTGTTAATTCCTCTGCCTGTTATTTTCCTCCAAAGAAAGGCCTGTTTTACCCACCTTGTGCAGAGTTCTGTGGCTTTAGTCCTTGTTTATTAGCTTTGAAAGCTTCTATGCACTCTTAAACAGACAAAATTCCCATTATTGGATTTAATGAACCAAACTGAGCTGTCTTTTTCAACATATCAACTCTCAGAACAATGTGCAAAAGTTGTACCTTTAGGGGTACAACCACAGTACCCTTAAAGAGTATCTTTGTACTTTATTTACAGCTAAAAGGTGCATAGTAGTAGCTTAAGGTTTTGCATTACTACTCTAAGGACCTATGCAACTTTGAGAGGTAGATAAGGCACTAAGTTGTATTTTTAAGGGTACTCCCCCAGTGACAAGCTGTCGTAGCCCTAAAGGTACAATTTTTGCAGATTTCTCTGATAGTATCCAAATTGTTGTCCAATCAAATGCTCTATAAAATGAGAATGCCCCTCCCCCTGATGTCTCATGACTCTTACTAGTATAGCAAGTAGCAAATCATGCTGTGACGTAAATAAGGGCTGCTCAAATAAAAGTACAATCCCCCTGGTATGTCCCGCTCCAAACTTCCTGTTTAATAGGAAATAAAACCATGCAGGATGTGTGAAACGGAGCGGTACGGTAGAGGGCACTTGAACTGCTGCTTTTGCCTCCAGCCACAAGAGTAATATTTTTATTTATTTATATCTTACCTTGTCCAGGTGACATTCAACAGATCATGTGCGTGTATGAATGTTTTATTC